GTGTGTGTGTGTGTGTGTGAGCGAGAGAGAGAAATTTCATTTTAATCTTGCAAATTTTACTATTTAAGTCAAACTGATGATAAAATTCCATCTTTGCACTAAAATAATCTGGAGTAAGAGAAACACTTTGTATGCAGGAGTGATTTGTTTTCCTGGATCTTCTTGGATTCTGGAGACAGAGACTGTGTCTACTTAAAGAGAGGCTTAAAAATGTCATTTTTGTTAAATCTCTTGTTAGATCTAGATCAGGTGACCATGAACCAATCTTTAGTTATGCTGCCAACTATTCCCATACTTCCCATCATGCACTGAGGACTGTAGTTGTCTATGTTCTCCAGTTTAGCCTTCTCCTCTCTTTTATCCTCACTTCCTAACCAGTCACAGTTGATGGCTGCCCCTCCCTGAGTTCTTCCTGTTGTTAGTGATGCCTGCTCTGTTATGTTCTGAAGTCATACTACCAAATATAAATGGAGATGCATATAAGACACTTTTTCTGGGAATACTGCAGATTTTTGGAAGATGCTTTGGCATTCTTCTATTTGGTGAGGATTGGACTTTAAAAATAAAAATCGTACCTTTAACCTATTGTAAATGCGGTAGCAAAACATAATACAAACTGTCAAATAGCATGTATATGTTCTTTAGTTTTCTCTGAAAAGCTGCCGGAAACTTCTGCTTAAGTTTAAGTTTAAAGTTAGTCAGACATTTCTGTTAAAGATGCCAACAACTGATTCCTCATCAGAGCTTTGAACTATAATAAATCTTCACAATAATAAAACACATATATAACACATGTGATGATGCTTCCACTAATTGATTAATGCAAAGAAATCAGAATAGGATGATGAAACTGATAAAACAGAATAACAAATGGAGTGTGCATAAAGAGTAGTCAGAGTAGAATAGCACTGATAGCAGGTGATTGGCTCTGCAGATGGTATGCTGACACTCACTCTGAGCCAATGAAGAGCCAGTACAGCCAGAACCATGTCAGCAGCAGCATGATAACACTGATGGGCAGGCACAACAGGAACCAGTTGGCAAAGTTGATGCTGTTGCAGTCTGGGTAAACGCTGAATGTAAAGACAGTGGATTCAAAAACATTCTTTTTAAAGGAGTCTTTGAATCATTATTTCATTCTAGCTGTGCAGCAGACTGAATTAACCGAACACTGAAGGCAACATTAATCCCACCACTGCCAATATGTTTCATTAACATACACCTGATGTGAGACACTCACTGGTTGAGGTACTCAGAGAATATGAGGTTAGCAGAGGTTCCCGGCAGCGTGGTGATGCCGCCAATGCTGGAGGAGTAGGCAATGCCGATGCACATGGCTTTGCAAAGCATCCGGCCCTGCCGACGCCTGCAGGAGGCCGTGGGTACGTTCTCTGCAGCCTGTAAGACAAAATGCAGAGAGAAGCAGATTTAGCGGAAGTAGCAGAACATGCAGAACTGGAAAAATATCAAAGAATAATTTTATTCTGTGTTTATTTGGTGCTTTTTTGCACCTCGTCTGCTGCAGGCTGCGACTCTGCTGGTATTTGAACAGAAGTGAAGGTTTCTGTGG